GGAGTTGACCGGTTTGACTTGTTGACTTTGTTTGACTTTGACTTGACCGAAATTTGACGGTTGTCACACCCAAACACGAATCGAGTCTAGCTATTCGGTACAATACTTGGTTCCAACTTTCATATCAAATTGGGATTCGGTACTACCCAATTCAGTTTCAGGTCTTTTTCCCGAAAGTACCGACCACGAACCAAATTCTCGATAGTCTCCTTAGATCTCTTGATCTCCCAGCTTAAATCCAAATCTAACTCGTCTTTTCTTTTTTCATATGAACTCGACTGCCACCGTCAACCACGATCTCTCTGGTGACATCCTCCCACTGGCAACCACCAACGACCTCTACCCATCGAAAACCATCGCTAGCCATGTGCATTGCGTTTGCCTACTTCTTGGTTGTTGCTTTTCCGACGACTTGCTCCCAGTAGGTGTTGCTTCTTCGACAAAAGAATAGCTTCGAGTGCTTGAAAGCTTTGCCATATTTTCTGAGTTTGTATCACCTTCCCGATGTTTACTAGTAAGACTTCCATTTATTATTATTTTTTTGCTCCGAAGATGTTGGGGTAGAATCAAATTCCATATATTTGATTTGTGTTGTTTTTTCTGAGCAAGAATACTTATATGGCTTTTAGAATTTGATTTTAGAAGAATACTTGTGTTGTATCCATACATATTTTATCTTTAAACTTCTATTCAACTTCTTGTGTTTTTTTTTTCCGAGCTTATCAAAAGTAATAATATATTTTGTAATTTATATTATGATTTTTTTGTTAAAATGTTAAAATTATAATATTTTTTTTAATAGATATTTTCAGCAACTTTATCAAACACTAATACTAAATCATTCAGGTTTATTAAGCACAAAATTATTTGGTTTTGGTCGGTTTCTACGAAAGCCCTAAATCAAGTATACCAATTGAAATACGGGTCAAACCGATCCAAAAACTACCGATTTGGTCCCGTATCTTGTAGCGCGCGAGAACTGCACAACTCCGAATCCCAACTCCCTTTCTTCAAACCCTCGCACAAAATCACAAACTTGGTGCAAAGTATTTAGTACTGTTGGCAGCAGCAGGCGACGGATTGGAGCAATGGTAGCCGGAGAAGAAGAGCAAAAAGCTCCAACACGGTCCTCTATCAAATCTCATATCGCGTTTAATAATTATCCCAAATGGAAAGACAAGGTGAGTATCGATCTTTGTTGAAAATTTGAAAATACCTTTTTCGATTTCTGGATTTACTGTATTCTTGTTGGTTCATGATCATCTCAATTTGTATTTAATTTTCCGAATATTTGTTCCATTAACAACACTCCTTCTGGGCTGGAATGTTCATATTGTAGTTGATTAGTCAAGTAAATTCACAATTTGCAGAACGTTTTCATCAGAAGTAAGATTCACAATCGTGGGAAATAAATGTCAAAACAACTGAAATTTTTTCGAATTAGATAATTGACATGAATTTACATCATGGTTTAAGATAAACATCAAGTGCTGTTAGACTTATATGTGCGAAATTTCTCAATCACATTGCTTCTTTTTGTGGAATTATATGTATTTACTCTTGTATTGTAGCTAAGGGAGAACTGTTACAACAGGGTTCGAGCTGACCGGAATCGGCTTCTATGGAAAATGAGGTTGCCTGATTCAAAAGACCATTCTCTTAGGCACGAGGTTTGTCTTGTTTGCATTGTGATTACCTAATATATTTATATATTTTTTCTTTAAATTAAGTTTTTTCATTGCAGGAGTTGATTAAATCCACCTTCCAAGACATCGTATCTGATGAACTCAGAAAAATTAAAGAGACACCAATGGAAAGCTGTTCTGGAACTATTAATCCTGAACCAGAAACTAGTGATGATATTTTATGGGAATATGATGGTCTTCATGCAGCATACGAAGGTGAATGTGAAGAAATCTTGTTGGAAATGCAAAAGATTTTTTATGAGGATCTTGAAAGTGAACAGATCGGAAAAGGTAAAGTTTGGTTGTTTATATCTTTATATTGTAATATTGTTTACCCTCTTTAGCGATTATTTTGCAATTTCATTTTCTTTTTCTTTGTATTTGCAGAACCAGATGGGTATATCAAAGTATGGGAAGAGGAAGAAGATGAATATTTAGCTCGTGCTGTTTTTGAGAATATGCAGCTGAATGATGACAAGGTATTAGTATTACCAAGAGTTGGTGTGTTTTAAATTTTAAGTGTTGATGACTAGGGTAAAATGCTTGTAATAGCAACCAAACTTTCCATGTTTTTCCAATTTAGGCAACCAACTATTTTTTTTGCCATTTAAGGGTAACTAAGTATGAATACATTGTGGCAATAGGTGCAAAAAGCGGTTTGGTGTCCCATATGCAAAAAAGGAGAGTTGCAACAGAGTCGACATCTTATCTTTTGCCCTCTTTGTGAACTTAAACTCAATGGAGACAATGAGGTAGTTATAACTTATAACTTCATCTTTACATTTACAAGTTGACGATTCTATGTATGATTACATCAGTTTCACATTGTGTATCATCAAACTTGGATATTATTGATTGCAATTTGCAACTCATGAATAGGTGAATCTGGAGTTTGTGCGGGATAGATTGGGTGAAGCTCACGGGCAGCATTTGGATAGGGGATGCAGGCTGAAACCAAAATTCAGTATCCGCTCTAAATTTGGTATGACTGCCCTCTACATGGAGTGCCAGGGTTGTAATACCTTTGAGATTGTAATATAACTTTTTTATTTTTATTTTCTTATGGTTCGTGCTAAGGGGTTTTACTTAAAATCTTGGTTTTTGCATCTCTTGTACATCATATTTTCTTTTCTTCTTGTTATATATACTATTAATTGTAATTTGGATTCACAAGTTCACCACAAAAGTTTTACGGTTTGTCTTTTCGTCCCTATGACCATTGGAAAATCATTCGATGACCCGTACCGCCTTCTTTAACCAATCACACCGACACCGCCACCGCCTTTCACCTACGTCCTCTTTTTCAACAAAAAAACCCCCCGATGTTACATTCAAAGCCCTGCAATCTTCTATATCCTTCCCCTACCCCTTAATCTCCCATCACCGCGACAAAGCTTGTAACACCGACGATTCAATGTCATCGCCACCGCCGCCTTCTTCCGACGTTCCCTCTCAGATGTAGAAAAGAGTCTCCTTTGTGGAGAACCGACAAAGCGAATTATAGTATTGTATTTTAAAGAAAAAACCTATCCATGTAGAGGGCAGTAATATATAAAAATTACAATATTTTAATAGAAAAGGTATAAACATGGTACATCAAGAAGAATGTGCTTCAAAAATCATCCAAAATGACACTCATCTCGAAACTAATACACCGAGACTGACTGTTAACAGTTTTTTTTAATACATGGGAAGCTCAAATAGGGAGCAAAAAGAATCGGCAAATACATATATTCAACCTTCCAACCATATCAAATCAAAAAAATAATATACACAAATACAAGACCAAAAAAGATTGGCTTTGCCACGTGTCATGTTTTGGAAGCCATGCCCCATGAGTGGAGGATTTAAAAGAGTTCCTTCGAGTTGAACTTGTTCCAAGCCTCCTATCAAACTCAAAAATTATGATTGCTTTGATTTTAATGGACAATTTAAAGATGAATCATGGTTTTAGCCTTTCTAACAAGTTTGGGTAATTAATGTTGATATTAAATAAATAAGCAAGTACCTTAAGTATATCGAAGACCTTTTCAGCAACATATTTTTGTTGAAGAGTAGCTCCTTTTTGTTGTACTTTATCAGGGTGTATACACAAAGTTGCCTTTCTGTATGCTTTTTTCACATTAGCACCGGTTATCAGATCTGTCAATGAAACCGCTTGCCACCCACAGTCAGGCCAAAGTACCTGCAATCAATTAAATACATAATAAAAAATCTTAATACTTCAAATTAAAATCTAAAAAGCATAAAAAAGAAAGAAAGAGACATACATATTGTAATGAGGATAGAAGTGCACGTAAATTTCCCTCTCTCCCTGCAGCCCACCGCTTGATTTCAGTATCTAAAGTCGCACCAATTCTCTGAGAAATAATATTAATAAATAAATAAATAAATCAGACAAAGAAAATAAATGTTATTAAATAATAAAATACTTACATGTCTTTCTTCCTGTTCTCTCTGAGATTGAAGATCCCGCTCATTCTTTTCAGCCAATGCTTTAACCTAAACAAATCACATGTGATGTCATGACTCATGAGGAGGGTTAAAATGGTAAAAGCATTATTAAGAAAACTCTTTACATACCGTACGCTCTTGGGTACGTTGCTCTCTTTCCAGTCTTGCCCTTCTTCTTTCCTCACTTTCCCCTTCAACTTCTACTTGAAATTTTCCACCACAAAACTTTTAGCAACTATAAAATCACTCACATGGAGCCCACATAATACATATACATGTTCTTCTCAATCATTAAACGAAAACATACCTCCAAACATGGAGCTAAGATCGTCTGCGACACTGGTGGTGACAGATGATTTCCTTATGTTGGTGTGGGCCCCCTGTTGTCCTCTTTTTGGGGATCGAGAACCACTGCTGAAAAATGATTCAAATTCATCATCTATCTTTTGTTGGTTCATTCTAGAAGCTGCTGCCCTTTCTTGAACACCTCTTTTTCTAGCCTCAAAAGCAGCCTTCTCTTTCTCCCGTGCATCAGTGGCTGCCCGTTCCTTTGCCCCAACTGCTGCCCGCTCACGGGCTTCAGCTTGTGCTCTTTGAACAGCAGCTTTCTCCATCTTCAAACGAGCTTCAGTGGCTGCTCTCTCACGTGCTTCCCTTGTTGCCCTTTCTACTGCTTGCTTACCCTTTTCTCTCTCTTCATCTTGTATACATTCTTTGTTTCTAGAAGCCTTTGTGTGTTCTCTTTCTCTTACTTCCTTGGCGTGTCTAAATTTAGCTTCAGCTCTGTCCATGGCTTCCTTCATTGCAGTAGCAGCTAAGATCGAGTCCATCTCTTCAGCTGAGTGGGAATCAGACAGGGGGCTAGTGGCTGCAGGCTGGAATGGCATAGGACTTTGAGGGTATTTAGAGGAATTTGGTGAAGATAAACCATTTCCAACTTTTCTGGAATTTGAGCCTCTTTCTGATTTTGAAATATTCCTTGGAGTTGGAGGAGGGGGTCTTGAAGGTGGTGGAGCATTTGTTGGTTTTGTGAACAGAGGTATCTCTGACACTGTGAGCCATATATCATCCGCCACCTGGATATTTTCTGATTGAGAACTTGAAGGTGGTGAAGTAGACTGGTCAAATGATCTATGATGGTTTCTGGGAACTGCTGGCATATCCTGTGATGGACTCTCTGAATATCTAAAAGAAGCTTTCTGTGTTGAATCTTTACTTGTGAATGCAGTTGCAGATTTACCAGAAGTACCATTACTTGCTGATGATCCTCTGGTTTTTGGGCTATCAAATTTACTAACATTGCCAATCTCTTCTAGTGGATCGATGGAGAAGCTCTGGTGTGAATTAGCAGTGGTTGAACTAGACTCATGAATCACAAACAGATTATGCATTGTATTAGAAGTTTCCTTTGTATTGGTGGTTGATTTTGGGGTAGGCTCTGAATTTGATCTGTGAGAAAAGAAAAATTATGGACTGTAACAGCTTATTGAGTAACAATATTAAGCATAAAAGAGCTTTCATGGAAGTAACTAGTAAGTAGTCAAGAAGAACAAATAGCATGTTTAGATTCAAACTTCAAAGTAGTGGGAGTTCATACCAAGTATTTGACTTTGCTTACTAAATTCCTGACAGTGCTTTTCAGACACCAAAAGTATATAAGTAAACCATGAAGACCAAGTCTTTCCCCAAACATGTGGAGTTATCCAAACGCATATCCCTTTGTACCATTGTTAATTATCTCTTAGAACAAAATCACAAACATTGTGCAAGACATTGATATTAAATATGATGCAACTTCATTGATAACTAACAGACACTTGAACCTTCTTCAGTAAATATAGATAATCCGCACTTTCCAGTGGTAGAAACTACTCATATTAGTTTGACTTCAATTTTTGGATCCATATATAAACCTAACAATATTAATGGCACTTCTGTGCTGGGTTATACTTCAAGACTAAGAACAGATGAAATTCAACAATATAAGTTAATGTGATTTGTATGCCCAGTATAAACTAAATGATAACAATGCATAAATTTGTCGGTAGTAACTAGTAAATAATGAAACAGAGAACTAAATCGCATATCAAACGAGGCATAGTACCTGTTACTGGTCGCAGGTCTGCCACTTCCAAAGCCAGGAATCAGATCATCAAAACCACTTGGACTCTTACTACGATTCTGCGTGGTAGGTTCAACTTTCTGTGCTCGACTTGGATTCCCCGTAAGATCATCGAAATGATCACTCTGTTGATTCCGTTTAGACGGCGATGTAGACATCGATGCGAAAATGTTCTCTTCGTATCTCGGCGAAGCAGAAGAAGACATCGATTTACTCTTTAATCCTGACAATCCGTCGAAAATGTCGTTATCATAAGCCGGTTTATCGTAAACGGGCAATTTCACAGATGTAGCTTTGCTTTTAGCTTCCTCATTTTTCGTGGGGGCTGAATTTTTGAAGATCACATCATAATCAAAATCTGTCATAGCCGATGTCGATTTAGAGCTGTTTGTGTGTTTAGGCGGACCACCAAACACGTCGCTGAATATATGATTCTCTTCAGTGGCGGTAGCTGATGAGGACGGTTTCATCGGGGTAGATTTTCCTTGAGGCCGAAATCCTAAGTCTCTTGCCAACATTCCAAAGTCATCCATTTGATTCACCGGATCTGGCGACAGATATTTGAATCACAAATACGATATGAAGTAAATTATGTGCTATACAGCTACGGATGCATAGTGCATTTGCTGAAATCGGAAGTAACTAACCGGAGGTTGATTAGGTTTAGAGCTGTGTCGGTAAATTGACGACGGTTGATTTTCACGGCGGTCGTTCACTTCTTGATTTCTGTGGACTCTGCTCGTACTTCCGCAGTGTCTTTGGGTGTTTCCTCTTCCATTATTTTTATTCAAAATCTTACATAAAAAAGTAATAATAAAATAAGTTAAAAAATAAAATATTTGTAGAAAAAAACACTGCATATTTTGTTCAAATATCATTACTATGGTAACCAATATTTACTAGTAAAAATTATTTAAGGGAAAAAGCATGAGAAAATGATTTAGAAGGATAATTATATTTAAAAATTGATAAAAAAAAAAATCTAAGTTTGATATATTCAAAAATTGATAAACAACTCATATAGGTTAAAAGGACAACTTGATAGTGACATATCATTAGTTAATATAATCATCATTTAGAAATCGATTTAGGGCTTCTTCATACTGGAATTTGTGAAAAACAATGAGCTAAATGTCTATAAGTCGCTCCATGAATGGAATTTGTGAAAAATGAAAGATGCATAATAGTTTACAATCCATTCTAGTTTAGTCATGACATGTAACTAGGTAAGATACAAACAACAAAATATTTCACGACACTATAAATTGATATAAATATTCATCAATACACTATTGTAGCCACACCACAAATTGGCATACATATTCAAAAAAAATATATTGCTCAAGATTGTTATTGTGACATCCCTAATTTTCATTGTCAAATAAATTTTTTTTATGTTTATTTAAAACAATATATTATTTAAAAGAATACTTGAGTGCGAAATTGTCCCAAAACATTTTTCTTTTAAGATAAAATCAATACTAAAACGTTTCTAATGGAACATTTTGTTTTCATTAATATTAAAACCATTAGATGACATAATCGATACAAAACATAAGTATAAATGAGTTATTACAGACCTTACAACAATTTAATTAATATTAAAACCATTAGATGTCATAATCGATACAAAACATAAGCATAAATGAGTTATTGCAGACCTTACAACAATTTATTATACTATCAACCATAATACCCTTAAATCACTCGGCAAATTATAATCACTATCATCGTTTCTTCGTACTACTACATGTGATGCAAACAAACCAAGTGGGTCAGGTTTGCGAGCCTGGTGGTACATAGAGTTTTCATCCTACAATAATATAATTAATTTTTTTTTAAAATAGAAATTTCACACCAAATAATTAACCCCATTACCCATTCTCGTTTTCACACACACTGATCCTAAAATTATGATCTCAATGGACCTATAAGCCAATAAAGGCAACCATGAGAGGGATAAGATACCCAAATGAACACACAGTTCATTAACACGTACAGATTGCGAGTATGTCAGTGTTCCACAAGATTCTCTAGAATAGTCGGTGGTTGTCATCTATACTCTGCTAGATGACTAGTCACAGTAGTACAATGTTGGTCATGACCTCACACCACTATTTTATATTTCACAAACTTTCACTATCCAATATAATTTAAGTACAGTAAAATAAAATAGATAAGTACTTCAATAATATATGATATTAATCAAGCATAAACATGTCATACTACTTTATATAACACAAGTATCATAGGTACAAAATAATAAGCACATATATAATTTAAGCACTTTAAATACTTTGTGTTTATATGTAAGATGAAAGTAACTATGCACTCACCTTGTTAAAGGTGATGATTTGTGGGAAAGTTAGTTCATTGCCTAATACTTTAGCTTTCCTTTTAAATGACCTACATACAATTATTACTAAGTCTTAGTCTTTTTTTGTATTATTCGAAATATATACCAATGTCTTAGATTCGTCAGTAATTTCAAAGAATTTCTAGTTCTATCAAATAAGGAATGACCAAGTAAGATCATATTGGAGGTACGATCCGTTTACTATATAAATATATTGTTTGGAAAATCCACTTGAAACACCTCACTAGGATATTGCCTATACATCACTCCCGTAAGTAGATCGATCAGTTATAACCAATTGGAATTACTAATAAATCTTATTTATAAGTTCATAATAACGATAAATAGCATAAATATAAGTTACACTTAAAAGCGTAGTAAGTGTAACTCAACTTACAAGGTTCTCTAGCGAAAGTTCGAAAAATCGTTGGAAGAACTTCGACACTAAATACTTATTTTTTTCGGGCTCTCTGATGTCGCAACGCCTCACTAAAGTGCTAAAAACTCAGAAAGGTCGGGTCTCGGGGTGCAGGAAAAGTTACATAGAAAAAGAGTGTAAATGAGTGAAAAATAATGCCAAAAATCAACCTATTTATAGCAATTTGGGAAAAGCGCACTGCGCCCTGCCATTTGGCCAATTCTTATGGTGCCACGTCGATGGCCGGTGGGTGGGGAGAATGGGTTCTTCTGGTGACATGTGGCAGTCTCCGGGTGGTTCCATGTTGCATTATGCACGTAAATCTCACAATCTTCGAAAAATCATATCTCTGATATACGAGCTCCATTTTCAACGTTCTTTATATCCATGGATTCTTATTTCGGAGTACTACAAATTTCATTTATATCTCAACAGCTAATCTGCATTCTATTTTCATTTTACAGTCTGTAAGATTACAATGCAAAAGACTTTGCGAAATTTATACCTTCTTCATACAAGCTCTGTTCTCGACGTTCTTTATATCGACATATTTGTATTTACGAGGACATCAACTCTTGTTTACATTGTTTTGGCTAACAAGTAACATATTTTCATTTCAGATTTTATGAAAGATATTGTTGTACTGTGTCAAACTGTGACAACCCGGAACTTCTATCTTGTACATCTAGTCAATTCAATCAATGTTAAACTCGTTTCTGTGGCCTTTTAGCATTGTTTAAGGGTTCGTTTAAGTGTTTTAAGCTCAAGTACAACCAAGGTGGAAATTAGGGATGAGTTACCAAGTCATAAAGTAGCAAAATCGGGCCATACACTCTCTTAGGAGGAGTGTACGGCCGTACACATGGGTGTGCGGCCGTACACCCCACCCCATGGCAGCACACTCAAGGTGGTGGGTCACCCACCCCTATATATATGAGTAGGCCCCTTTCCTTCACTCCTTTCTTCTCTTGGCTGCACACTACTCCATCTCTCTCAAGTTTCATCAACCGTGAACCCTTCCAAGGCCTAAAAAACGTGAGTTTTCCATCACCTAGCTTATTATACTTGAAGGACCTCTTGATCTAAGTCTTGAATCATCATGTTCTTCACCCTTTGAAGGAGTACGGCCGCACACCTTCATAAGGTTGGTTGTACACTCCTTAAAGGCTCTCCAAAGTGAGAGTTTGACCCCTATCTTCGAGTTGGACATGACCCTGACCTTGATTCACCCCAAAGTCGACATTTTGGGCATGAACATGAAGGGTGTACGGCCGCACACCCCTTTGTACGGCCGCACACCCCTTTGTACGACCACACACACACATTAGGGCCGCAAACCCACTTGGATGATCATTTTAGGCCTTAAACTTGATTTGCAACTAAGCCTGGGACCTAGAACACTTCCTTGATGCTTCTTAGGGCCTTGAAACACCTCAACATACACACTCTTTCATGAGTGTACGACCGCACACTCATGGGCCGCACACCCATGGCCGCACACACCTTTAGGGTGGCCGTACACCTCCCTCACTCAACCACATATGGCTTTAACACTTAGTTCAAGTGTTTTCAAGTCCTTAGGGTGGTTTTCTATCATGTCTAGTCATGAAATACCCTAATTTGAATCATATATGTGTTATTACATGATAATTAGGATCCAATTGTGTTCGAGGCTTCACTTGACATTCAACATCCCATAACGATCCTTCATTCAAACCACTCACTCGAGGTGAGTTCATACCCCTACGTTTTCCGAGTTTTTAATGTTTTCAGGGGGGGATACAAGTAAAAGCACAAGCAATCTTGTGTCAAAATATATTATTTTGTTTAATATAATTCCATTATTAACTTACATCAAATATAGAAATCAGTTTTACAAGCGTGTTAAGATACTAACCTTGCAAAAGCAGTTTTCAAAACTAAGGAAATGAACTTATGAATCATGAAATGAAAGATACTATTTTATGCTAATAACGAAAAGGGTTTTCCTGTATTATTATTCGTAAATTTGTTAATCTAATTGGAGACATGTCCTTGGGCGCTTACAAACTTAACTAAGTGGAGGACTACCCCTTATGAACCAGAATCTCCTGGAGGGAGAGCGTGATTTTTGTTGTATAGATCTATACGGGACTGACTATCCCGCACCTTACTGCTAGCTACAGTAGGACCGGCAGGTCTACGGGTGACAAAGTCATAAAAGATACTGGTGCCTGATTTGCGCCATATCAAGTTAAAGTATGGTCATAAAGCTCGCAATGTAGATAACAACGATGTATTTACGTAATAATAGATCGAACGAACTAACTTTAGAGTTAATAACTCGGTGATCACAGGAGGGTATTAATAATACTTTCAGGAGTCAGATCACCGCGTTTTCAATTAGTTTTATTTATGTAGTAAGACTAATATACATCACTGGAAGTAGCCAGGGTTTTCAAAAGGAACAATGCTATAACAATATAATTATGGTAAATACTTAGGGATGCAAACGGGGTCGGATATTGGCGGGGACTGCAATCTCCATCCCCGTACCCGACCTCCGATCCCTATACCATACCCGCCCCCGCCCCGCCAAATCCCCGACGGGTTCGGGTGAAAAAAAACCCAACGGGTACGGGGAATCCGATGGATACCCGTTTAGTATAAAGGTGTAGTGTTTTTAAATCTAAAAACATAAACAACAATCATGACAACTAAAAGATTCCAATTTTCATACTATCACTATAACAGATGAAAAAGTACAAAACAATTCTTTTTTTTAAATCTACAAAACATAAACAACAATCATGAAAACTAAAACATTCCAATTTTCATACTTTAGTATTATAGATGATAAAGTACAAAACATCTCGATATTTTCAACATCATAAAATCATCAAAAACTAAGTTCTTATTCAAAACATCATTAGAAACTAAATATCAAAATCTAGAGCACTTGGATGCACAATTCTTGTAATGGTAATGTAAGTGTGCCGTTCCATTCTTGATTTT